CTCAGGTATCTGCTTTTTCTTCCCATTACTCCTTGAAATGTGTGTGTGATGCTCTGCCACATATTATTGTCTCATTAGAACCCTTATTAAAAGAAATAAGAGAAAGTTTGGATGTAAAGACATTAGAAATTAATGGTATATATATATATATATATATATATATATATATATATATATATATATATATATATATATATATATATATATATCCTATATATATACATATACATACACATACACATACACACACACACACACACACACACAATGATGCAATCTTCGATCTCCGGGAAGAGTATACTCCAGTTATTTATTGTTAAAATGATATGGAGTATAGGATATTGTTAAAATAACTGGAGTATACTCTTCCTGGAGATCGAAGATTGCATCATTGAACAAATATGCCCGGGATTCGTATTTATTTATATATATAAAATGATATTTTACTGGTTATCTTGAAATCCCTTAAGAGGTTAAGAAACCTTTTTAGAATAAATGATTAATTTGACAAAATTAGCAGTTTTAAGTATTATTTTTCTAAGTCATTTTTTTTATTCATAACCCCCTATGATAATAGCAAATATATTAAATTAATTAATAGGAATTAAAATCTGTAAACACTCTTTCAAATAGGTAGAGGCTTACACTCCTTAAAATATTGAACAAGTCATTAAAATTGGCTGGAACCTAGCCTTCTGACCTCCTTAAATGCTGCACCTGGCCTTCATTGTTACTGATCTTAGAGGACTGAGTTGGGTCATTAATGGGATGGCATATAAATTTTGGGCACAGCTGGTTACTTCTGCAGGAATCCATGGGCAAGCTTGTGCTGTTGTCTGGATACCATCTCTTCTGTGTCATAGATGTTTTCATTTTAATCCTGATTATATACTCTTCAAATATTCCACATTTTCAATGCAGGAGTATCATTTGAATATCATTCTGAAATAAAAGAATGCATGGTGTGCATTCACCTCAGAGGGATTTAAATAAAGAAGAGCACAAATGCCATTGAGATGCTCCATATTCTTGGTGATTATCTGGACATCCATGGAATTTCCCAGCCACAATTTGGAAGTGGTTTGCTATTTTCTTATTTTCAGGGTGGCTTCTTTCACTACCCAGCCGAGCCTAATCAGGGGCTTCAGTGGGTCCAATCCAAATACTAAACGACCTCCAAGCCTGCTTAGTTTTGTGGGATCAGCCAAAACAACTTGACCCCCATGCTCAATCTCAGAGGACTTTATCACAATAAGTGGACTTTAAAAATATATTTTGGTTTTGCCTTGCTACTATATTCATGTGTCGGTGTTTATACCTTTATGGCAACCAGTCATGCTATTTTGCAGTCTACTCGGAACTGAACTCACTTCACTGTGGGAATAGATTTTATTCAGGCCTGCTTGTCATCTCTCATGAAGCCTCACAACTGCTCTCCAGACAATGGAGTGGGGAATAGACTCAATGGAGACAATTGAGCTGGACTTTCATGCATTGAAGGTTTTTTTTAATTGGTATCTATTATTGGGAGTTGATGGTAAAAACATCTGATGCCATGAAAAATTTGAAACATTTAAATTTACATTTGCTCACATTATGCTAAATAATAATTTGGCTAATCATGGTCTGTGGAATAAAAAGCTATGAATAAACCAACTGGGTGGACAGCCCAGTTTGCCTAACCACAGTTTGCTGTACAAAGCTAATCAAAGTGGCCAGATTCATGCATTGTTCTAAAGTTTACTCATTGTTCTAAAGCACCTAAAGTGATTCCAATGGTAATGTTTGGAATCACAGGACACAAAATGTCAAAGGGAAACAAACTGTATTATGCCTTAGCAGGTCAATTGGGTCCCAGTCAGTTTACCACACAAAACAAGTTTAACCAACTGAAATATGCAGATCAAAATCTGTGGAAAAGTCACAGGAGAGTTAAACCAACCATAGGTTTCTTCAAAGATACTTTTTTAGATAATGACTAACTGCAGATTAAACATACAGTAGTTCAATATTTAGAGAAAGTCATTCACAAAGACATTATAACTGATTGCTTTATTGATACTGTATGAATGAAAAGTACAATAGGTGCAGAATCCGGGCAAATTGAGTGCACACAAGTGAAGTATTTCAAGATACATCAATCCCCATCTCCCCCCCTTCCCCACACCCTCCCCACAATATAAAACTTAAGCAGACAATAATACATACAATGAGACACAAAAAAAAACCCTAAAAAAACAAAACAAGTATAATTCTTCCCTTCATTTAGTGCAGAGGCAGCAAGGTCCATCACCAAAAAGACTGAGCCTTTGCAAATGAAATGGATGAAGTAAAACAGTGGGACCAGTTAGGGGAACTGTGCTCTTTCCCTCAAGTGTGCTGGCTTTGCACCAGAGGGTTGAAGAAAACAGGCCAGTTATGTGTTCCAGTAATGTTTCATTTTTAAGTGGATTTTCCCATCATGCAAGAAGAAAATAACCAATAACATTTTTTATGTAAACTATAATTGCCCCTAGAATCAGTTATGTTGTTACAATAAACATGTTCTTACAGGTAACTCCTAACAGATTGAGCTGGGTTCCTTTTCTCTAGAATGTCCATGTTAAGTATCTCAATTACAACCCCAGCCTCGTCATATTTTGATTCCTCCAACAGAAAGCTAGAAGACATCCTCATCTGTCCTACTGCTCAAACATTGCATTCCTTAGTACAGATTTTACAATCTCTTCAGCCAGCTTGAACAACTTTCAACTCAGTATTTCCAAGGCACGTAGGTGATTTGAATGTTCCCTTTGGTGTAGTTGCATATCTTGTGAAGAGAACACATCTTTCTCTGATAGCAATATTGTTATTATTATTTTTGCTTAAATAATAGGCAGTCCAACTTGTTTGAACAGTTAGTCTGTTTAATAGGGCTTGTTCCAATGCAAAAGCATAGGACCAAAGCCTTACAAGAGTGCCTGTAGCTGGAAATTCAGCAAGCAAGCAAGATGCTGTCCAACATGCAGCTTTTTCTTGTATTCAAGCCTCCTTGCTCAGATTTAGTCACTAGGAATAAATCTGACGTGCCTTTGGGGAGAAGATATTAGTAAAGCATCCTTAAAAGCTAGGCATCTGACACTAAGGTACCTAAGTACACAAAGTGATGGAAAGAAGCTATCTTGAAGTACAGTCTTCTAGAACTAGCTTCCAAGATGTGGAAGTGCCAAAACTGTATGCATACAGAGTCTTCCTGCTAACTGTGAAGATATTCCCCAGTTGACAAACTCTCAGTGGTAAGTTTTAAGAACACCCTATTCACTAATACACTATAAACCCAAAGCCAGCATGCCATTGCTTTGCAATATAAGGATAACTCTCTTAAGAATTATCAAAAAAAAAAAAAAACAGAGCCCAGATTATACAGAAATTCCCTTTTCTCTTTCATCACTATTATCCCTTGAAACAAAAGCAGTTCTCCCTGTTCCATTCTTCTGATATATTAAATATAGGGGTGGGGTGGGAGAATACAATGAAAAAACATTTATACACCTGTCTGAACATTTTACGCATAAAAGTGGGCTCATTTTGTTAAAAAAACAACCCTCATTTGCAAACAAAACTTTTTTAAGAATTTAAATTCTTTTGCTCCCTCTTTCCACTTACTTTTGAATTAAAGTAATTATTTTCTGTTTCATACTTAAGGGAACTACTGTTGATTTTTTACAGGGCCGTGCCAAGGCCTCGTGGCTCAAGATTGCAAGATAAAAAAAATTCAAAATTGACAACGTGTGTAAAAAAGCCCCAAACCCTACATTTAAAAAGGAAAAGAATACAATTCAAGTATAATCTTTAGGTTCTTTAAATGCGCATATATATACATATATATATATATATAAATATATATAAAGCAAAGCCAGTACAGAATGAATTAGATGTCCCTTTTTTTCTAAGCAACTGTGTGTACAAAATAGGATTACTGGGGTCTCCCTTCATGAATCTAAGATTAAAACAGCTGATAATTTTATAAAACCACCAGTTTGCACATTGCTCAAATCAAGGAATGGGATTTAACCAACTGCACTGTTACTTTTTTATAATGCATTCAGCCTGAGGTTCTTCTTTTACACCTCAAGAATGAGGAGGCAGAATGGCTACGCCTCCCTTAGAGCCAAAAAGGCTACTGCAACTACATACCTCCTCTTTCTCCTTCCTTGCAAGACCTTTGTGTTTCCCCTTTCCGTCCACATGACTGGAAGAACATAGTGTGGTTCTAAATGGTTCTGTTTAATGCACAAGAGGTCTCTCCAACCACTTACTCTTTGGAAAAGGAGAAAAAGCAACCAAATAGGAAGGTTTGTTAACTCAACGACCTATCCTAAGAAGGCAAATCTAGGCATGATGTTTATCTTCTCGGAAGCCCTGAAAGGTATGAAGAGTTACGCGTTGACCAGATGCAATGGTGTCTGAGGGAGACAGAACAGAAAATGACCAAACTGCCCAAGAGGAAAGTAGCTCTTGTTCTGCAGAAGCTAAGGTAAACACTTAATAGAGTTAGTAGGTCCATGATGGATTACTTCTCCAATACATGCAAAGGCCTTTGCAGAAGGCATGTTGTAAGAGGATTTGGATAACAGAGACTGAATAAAGTATTTTTAAAAATATATTTTTTCACCTAAAAAAATGAATATAGATGTATCTGTGATTCTGCCTGTGTGTGCTATTGTATGTATACATGTGAGTGGCAATTAGCTCTTATGGTCATGACCAAGCTATAGTTCAGAAGAGAAAAAAAAAAGAACACACTTATCACACTTTCCTAAAACGAAAAGCTAAAAAATTTTCAAGTTCAGTATATTTCGAGATCTTGTCCTTCCCACCCTGCCCTCTTGTAATTTCTGGGTTTGTTTTCCCCTTCCAACTTACAATAGCACCATTAACAACATTTAAACATTACAATCCCTCTTCAGTTACTAGACACACACAAAATGGTCCCGTTAAAAATAGTGCTTTTCTGCCAAAAAAAAAAAAAAGTTATATATATAATATATATTTCATATAATTCAACTAAATCTGTGGCAAATGTGCAATGCTGACGCCTCCGCCATTAAAGTGAACTTACGTTCACCCAAACTCTTTCACTTCATCGGTGATTTTTCTAAAAGGTGCAAGTACATTTTGAACTGTGTAATTTAAAAAAAAAAAAAGGTCATGGGCCTCATCTTTTTGTTTCTAGCTTTTAAAATGTGCAGCCCCCCCCCCCAAATATATCAATCGTGACTTATAAAACACATAAAATGGGGTAAAGGTTAGGCCAACCTTTAAAACTTCAGATTTTGTTTCCCTTTTTTTTCTTTTTACTGTCAGTTGAAATAAGGAATTTGGCCTTCTTTTAATACCATGATCTTCTCTCGCTCTGTCTTCATTGGTTAGTATATGGACTGAAAGGCAAGTCTGTTATTATATAGTTCAAGTGCCTTAGCTGTCCCTGTTAAGTTCAAGCTGAAAATACTGGGTAGGAAAGTACAAAGCCAACCAATAGATTAAAAAAAAATAATAATTATAAAGACAATGCCACAAAAATGTTGCTGCCACCACTGATGTCATAATCCCAATCATTTGGTGTTCCTGTGCCACTTTTTCTGTTGTTCCTTGGTGGGAAAGGACATTTGCTCTCCCCCCTCTGACTTGGTCTGCAAGAGAGAAAAGGCTGGGGCCGGACCTTGAAAACACCTCCCATGAGACTGGGAAAAATAATAATAGTCACTTCTGCAAAATAGTTCAGCACAGTTCACTTCTGGCTGCCTGACGTTTCTGAGGTGGTGTGCACAGGCAGAGGTGTCTGTGTCGGCAGGACAACCAATGGGCGATGGTTCTTGGACTCTTCAGATTCCTGCAGCCCTTCAGTTTGCCATCGATACCTGCGGGCCCGGAGGACATTGGGAACCCCTCGCTGAAGGCGCTGTGAGCTCTTCTTCTGCCAAATGTCGTATTTTGAGTACTTGGCATGGGAAGGCTTTTGGAAGATATCCTGAGAGAAACGAGGAGAGAAGAGCAAAGGAGGATCAGTTTATTGCTTGCCATGACAAACCGAAAGGATACGGACTGTCACTGGGCTGTGATGTCACATGGCTAAGCAGACAGAACTGAAACAACAGAGAATGCATTCTTCTGGGGCAGAGGTAGGCAACCTTGGCTCTTTTATGACTCGTGGACTTCAACTCCCAGAATTCCTGAGCCAGCTGGCTCAGGAATTCTGGGAGTTGAAGTCCACGAGTCATAAAAGAGCCAAGGTTGCCTACCCCTGCTTATTGACACCTGTAATGACTTTCCTTCAGATCTCCCTTTCTTTATGCCTTTGTCTCCTGAAAACACTGGGAAAAGTTTTTTATACCACAGGTATCCAAGGGCATCTGATAAAATTGGATAGTTTATCCACATTTCATTGTACTGCATTTTTGAGTCAAATCAATTGCATGCACTTGAAAGTCAGGCATCATACAAGATTTATAGTTCTTGCTTAGTGACCACAATTGAAACTGGCAACTCTGTTGCTAAGTGATGCAGTTGCTAAATGGAAAATCATGTGACTGCGACAGGCTTATTTCCCCTTCAGTTGTGACTTGTGATTTTACTTCTGCCTTCTCTATTACTTCTGCTTGTCACAGATCAGTTGCAAAGCACAGAAATGGTGATTTGTGTGACTGCAGGATGTTATGTGACTGCAGGATGTTACGGCAGTTGTACATGAGGTGTATTGGTTGCAAAGCATCTGAATAGTGATCATGTGACTATAGGACTCTGCAATGGTCATAAATATAAAGATTGATCTCAAAGCTTTTTTTTTTAGACTGTCATACTTTTGAACAGTTGCTAAATGGGACATTAAGTAAGTGAGGATTTCAGCTATACTGAAAATCTTACTCATCAGTTTTCCTCACGTGTGTATTGGATTTAAGGTCTCCTTATACAGTCAGACTATCTGAAGAGCACCAGCTTGAGGCAGGCTGGTATATATAATAGTGACCTCATTCCCCATGTAGGAGGTTTAGTTCAGCAAAAGCAGAATGGAGATTGGAAATAGGAGCTGTCTTGGCAAAACAGGAAGAACCCTACATTTTGTCATAAAGACAGAAGTAGCAGGGAAAAAGCTAAAAGTAAAAGGAGCATCTCCAGGAGGGGGGTCAAAAGGTCAAGATGGTGGCTGTAACTGTGTTATCAAAGCCTGCATATATTCACCAGATGTGCAATGCATGTCAACAAAAGGTTTTCGTCACAGTCTCCAACTTGACTTTTCTAATTCTCCTCAGTGGACATCCCTGAAAGGTAAAAGCTTCACCAAAACAGCCTACTGAGAACTGAGCACGCTCAGTACCCATGGAAGACTATCATGAGTGGTAAATAAAGTCAACCTGTACAGAGGAGAGATGGAAACAGGCAACGTGGAAGACAGTATGCCTGATTACCTGGTACTTTGTTGTAGGTCCCATTTACAAGACTGCTTAACAAAGTCTCCCGTACCTGTCTGACGTTATCCTGGCAATGCAATTCTGCTGGTGTGCTTATTTGCAATGTATTTACACTGTGTTGCATGATGCTCTCTTTTAAATAAGCATGAATAGGATTGCTATTATCAACATGCCCAATTCACTTTGAGCATGATACTCAATATCCTGCAATGTTCTGCCAAGCAAATAGGTAACTTGAGCAGACTTTACAACTTCCATTTTTGGACAAGCAGTGGACATATTGTACTTTACCATTCATTGTCATTCCTCCCTAGCCACCCCCATCTCTGGACTCTCTTTTAAGAAACAGTTGCTTAGGGAGAAGATGTTATCTGTACATGGATAATATTATTTTGCTATACCTGCAAAAGCAGCAAATACTGAAGATAAGGGTTCTGTAGTCCCATGGGATTTTTTTTTCTTTCAAAAATGTATCTGATTACTCAGATAGGATCTTTACCAACCTTGTTTAGTGCTGGTAAAACAAGAGATGAAGAGAGGTCCCGTTCTGATTTGACAGATTTTGCGCAGTAAGTTTCCAAAAGATTCAGGTCACAACTCCGGAAGCAGCACTCCTCCACAATGCCACGATTGAGTCTTCCTCTGTTTCTACCCACAGGCCTACCTGTTGACACAAAAGTTCAATTGAAAATAAGTGATGCCACACATTTAAGTATTTAAGATAAACAATGGAGAAATAGATCAATGTGTTTTGTTTCTTTCTTTTAAAATCAGCAGCACCCACATGGTCCATTTAGAGCTTTGCAAATTCCACATTTGATGGTAAGGTAGCAGGAGTGCAGAAATGAATCAAGCTGCTCTCGGTTTACCCAATTTGCAACTCACCAAAACAAATTTTCAATTACAACCGGTGCCACTGCACTATTATTTTCATCTATACCAGTCAACTAATGATGTAAATTATTTTCAACCCATAAATAAGATGCCAGGTTGGGAAAGAATACAATTCACTTGGAGCTGGTGTAGAATAAATTTTATTTCACTTGTTAGTACAAGCCTAGTTTAGATTTTTAAAAAATCAGATAATTCCATTCTAATGGCAACTGCTTTGGTTTCATGCTAATGTATCACTCATCAAATTATTTGAGAGGAGATATTTAGCTCTACCTTAAATATTTTACTTATATATGACAATATGCATTGTTCAGATCCAATTTGGTTGTTTTCTTACAAACATTTCGTTACCATGCTAGGATAATCAGTACAAGACAAAGTAGAATCGCTGACTGTTTGTGTATATAATGCCCCCCCACACACCATCGTTCTAGATCAGGGTATTGTTTCTTCCCTGGTTGTTTATCTGATGCTACTTCCTTTTAATCTGGCTGATAGGTGCTGCAGGGATTGTATTCTAAACTTTTTGTTCCTTCAAACAAGTACAACACAGCCTCTCCATCTATGAAGAGGCAAAATTACTGTCATTACCCCATAATTTTTTTTCTCTGACCCCACTGTTTTGGTCTGGTCAATTTTCAAGCCACTATTATATGTGTTGCAATGGTGGAACAGAAAGTTTCATGGAAGTTCCTTTAAATACGACAGTCCAGAAAAATCTTGATTCAGAACTCTAGTTTGGAAATAGGGTTTTAATAAATTTAAGGTAAGCTAAGCTTACTGAACTCAGTAATTTAAAAGCAAGTTTATTTGAATGCAAGTAATCAAAACAAGGCTTGGGATACATAATCCAGGAGAAAAATGTATGAAATGCCAATCTGCTTTCTGTTAGTCACAGCTCTATCTTTTTAGGATGAAAACAAACTCCTTTACTCATCTGTGATTTTTTTCTTTCTAAGTTATTCCCCAAGTATACGCTATTTGTTAGCAACTGGACAGCTTTCACTACCCACTTCAAAACAGCTGGCAATTTGATGTGTGATCTTCTAAAAAGAAACAAACAAAAAAAAACCTATGTTCTAAATTATATGCTACTCTCCTGAAAGAAAATACAATTCTATTTAAAAACAGGAACAAATGCTCAGCTGAGAGCTGTGTTTTTTCCAGAATGCTGATAAATGCCTTCATAAGCAAACTGTGAGGTGTTGTTGCTAACAAAAGGTAAACTGACAAGGAAATTTTACATAAACCACCATTATGTAATATTTTTAGTAGTAGTAGTAGTAGTAGTAGTAGTAGTAGTAGTAGTAGTAGTATAACTTCTCATCCCTATAATTGGAGATAGTAACTGAAACAAAGAAGAGAGTGATCATCATGACACCTTAACCAGGATCTTCTGATTCTCTCCTGATATGCACTATACTATTGATTAAATATATTGCTGCCTTTGGGATTTGCACAAACATTATTTTTTGCTAGTTCCTGTTGCACAATGACAACTTTTTTTTCCTTTTGAAGAGATGTCATGGATCTCCTCACAAGTAGCCCCCCTAACTAGATACTGCCGAGAATCAGAGTTGATAATAAGTCTCATGTTTATTTATCAGTGTCTAATAAACACTGTTATCCTCTGAGCACCATCTCAGGTAAGGGCCAAGGATCATGTTCATCAACAAAGACAGACAGCCATAGCAAAAGACAAGACATGTGGCTGCTGTGGCTTGACACTGATAAGAGTTCCTCTCTTCAATTTAGTTTCTTCCTTTTTCTTTCTTAGTTCCCCTTCCCAATTTAGCTTTTTCTTTCTTTCTCTCTTTTCCTAAACAGAAATTGCAAGGAGGATAAATATTGGTGGCTAAGTCTGGGGTCAAAGTTCAGATGCACTTGTACATCCCCAAGCGTATATATGAGGGATAAGAGGGAATGTTCATGTGCTGTGTACAGGGCCCCGCGTGTGCCATACTTCTGAATAACACAAAAATATTCCACAGCTTGTGCCTCCTTCATACACACTCTCCTGAGTACCACTTCCATCGGATCAATCAAGCACCAAATCAAGCGTAAGAACACTTTGGGTGTAAACAATCCTCTCTTCTCCTGACAAAGGAATGTGGGCACCAACAAGAGGGCCTTTGTCGAGTGGCTGGGCAGCAGCATCCATTGTTCCAAACCCCTCCCCCAAAATAGCTTCCCTTCCACCACCACCCACCCCCTTATTTTTCCTAGTATTATTCTGAGGGATGCAGAGAAAAGAGAGAGAGAAAGGAGAGAATGTGCTTTGTCAGCGTAAGTGGCTGGAAAGAGCTAAGTTCTTATCAGCTGTTAGAAAGGAAGAAACAGGAGCCCTTGTTTACAGAAGTCAGATGCCTGGACTCTCGCTCAGCTCTCCCTCACCCTCATCTCTTCCTGATTTACACAGAGATTCAAGCTTCATTTACCTATGTCAGACTGGCTTTTTGCTCTGATTCAAAAATCCCCCAAGAGCTGGAATCAGACCTCTCAAATATTGGCTACTATGCCTACCTTTAAACACTCCATCTTGTGTCCTTCACTGATACTAGTATAAGAACACACTGATACTAGTATAAGAACACGAATCACTATTACTGGATCTCCCTTAATGCCACCTTCCACTTCTTCCTCTTCCTCTTCTGCCAGAAATGCTTAGAAAACACATTTATTGGGCATGTTGCTGATTAACTACTTCCTAAGCGGGAGTATTTTTAGCTCAACATCCCTTCTTCAGAACTACTGCCAGCCTTCCCCCACCCCCATTGGAGAATCTAAAGAGAGAACTAAAGCTTACGGGTCTGACTTCAATAGAGTGATGATGAATTGCCCCAGCTGGGGTCTTGACCTTTGGTGGTTTTGGACAGAGCTGAAGATTAAAGAGACTAAGAAGCAACTTCCCTTTAAAAGTATTTTCAGAAGAGGATTCAGACCACCTACAATATGGGAAGCAGGGACCAGGACAACTCAGGATGCCAGACGCAATATGACAGGACAACCAGGACAAGGAATTGGATGCTTTGCAGAATAATCGTCCCCAATTTGATCCTGTCCAGATTTGGGGGATTATATTTCCCAGGATCCCAGCCAATGTGAGCCAAGTTCACACTGGGTGAGAATTTTGGATGATATAACCCCAACATGCCTGGAAAGAATATCTGGTTGGAGAAGGGTGATGTAATAGAGGTGTAAATAAATTCTAATGAGCAAAAGGTTTAGAATTCTCCCCTGTCGATCAAATAAGCATGTATTTCCTTGAGGAAAAATTAAAACACAGGCATATTTTTAAAAAAGGATACCAAGGATATGTACATGCCAGAGTATTAGATTCACATTTTGTGAGATAGGTGGCCCTATAAAATGAATGAATGAAAGGAAGGAAGGAAGGAAGGAAGGAAGGAAGGAAGGAAGGAAGGAAGGAAGGAAGGAAGGAAGGAAGGAAGGAAAGGCGACTAGCATTTTAAAAAATATTTCAGCAATTTGTGTTAACAATTAAATTACAAAGTCCCCATATGCTGCAACCACTCTCTATGGATTGAACCCATACAACAATCCACCAGGATACCAACTAGTAATATAGTGGATCAAATTGAAAAGATTTTTAGAGATTTACACAACCCAAGTAATGAATTCTGTCTTCAAAGATTTAAAATTTTGCAAGAATGTTTCCTTCATAGCAACAAAGACTAATACTATCATATATTTTCTTTCTCTACACTGAAGTCTTTGGGGCACAGTGGTCAGAATTTTATGTGAAAATCTAAATCTCCTGAAAGTAAAACTTCCAAATCCTAGTTAGTTGCCATTCCCCAAAGCACTATTTTAGATACAAATGAAATTAGATAAGGCCTAATAATTAAGGAAGATTTTATGTACTGCTTCTCCTGATAACACCACTATGGATGGTTTCTTACTTATTAATGGGTATTATTTAATTAAGGTGTTGTCAACAGTAGTTTTCACATGGTCTGAGATGGACTTTCAGTATTCATGACTACCTTGCAGCATGTCTGAATGAAGTTAAGGGTGTTGGTTGGCCAGTAAGTAGATAAAGGATTGCAGAGTGTTTATTTAATTCTGGCTGTAAGCCAGGGCTTTTTTTGTCATAGAACGCCCAGAACGGAGTTCCGGCACCTTTTTTGGATGGAAACTTGTAGGGTAGGCAAGGCGGGTTGTATGGCATGGGTGAATTCCAACACCTTTTTTTTTTTTTTTCAAAAAAAGCACTGCTGTAAGCAATTCAAATTCTATAAGAGGAATATAGAACTATTTGCATTTTGTGATTGTATGATCATGCAGATGTAGAATACAAGATTTTGAACCAAGCAGTCTGATATTATTCAGGTACAAAAGAAGTCTTAGACCACATTTAGCTTTTCTTATCACTGGCCATTCTGGCTGGGATTCATAGGAACTAGAGCTTAATCACATCTGCCAGATTACATGGATTTTCAGTTCAGGCCCAGCCACCCACCAGCAATACACAAAAGCTATCATAGCATATATAGCTAAGGTGAGGCCTCCTGAGATGCTGTTTCATGTATAAATTTCCAAAACACCGTGTATTGTTATGCATGGATATATTGGCACTTTTCCAAGCTGAACTCATTTCACTCCCCCCCCCCCCAATACTTACTGAAATAAAAGCCTCTGTCCCCACAGACAAACTGTAGTGTATCCACCAGCTCTCCACCACAAAGAGTTTCAGCAGGACTGTATGCAGAGACGGAATCAATCGTATATGCCAGGAAGGTGAGCATAAGCAGCAATATCCGCCGGGAGATGCACATTTTCTGTATATGAAAGAGAAAAATCCATCATGTTAAAAGCTGCTCCTATAAGTGACCTCTAAACTAACAGGGTTTGTCAGACCAGTCATAGCAAGGCAGACATGGATCAAGTACACAGTGCTTGGACAACAGGCTTAAAAATTATAGAAATCTGTAAGCATAAAGCAGTGTTTCTCAACCTTGACAATTTTAAGGCAGTGGACTTCAACTCCCAGAATTCCACAGCCAGCAATGCTGGCTGTGGAATTCTGGGAGTTGAAGTTCACATGCCTTAAAGTTGTCAAGGTTGAGAAACACTGGCATAAAGAAATATTTTTTTCAAATGTATCTTCTGAATACCACAACACACACTAAAAAAAAAAGCAGGTAAAACTCCCTGCAGCTTCTCTCTGCTTTTGCTTCAAGTAATAGAAATCAAAATACTAAGCCTGTTTCATTATTTTCAAATCCAGATGTAGGTCAGCAAAGATGGAAACAGCTTCCTGCATTTCTATGGAAGATGAGGTGAAGATGAAAGCAAAATTATAAACTTCTCAATTCCTCTTTGAGCCCAAGTAAAGTCATGAGCTGGAGTCTGTGTGAAAAGAAGTTTCTCTACCCCTGATGAAAAATGTCAGCAATTCTGTTGTGATTAATTTTTAGTTTCAAAACCTAACTACAATCATTCAAAGCACTATATTTTGTTAAAACACATAAATTAAACTGGCAGATATAATTTTAGAAAAGACCTGCTGCATGTGAAAGAATAAGGAAGATTTACTCTGCCTTTTACAAGAATGTTGCATCACTATACAAAATGAAAATTGGTGAATCTGCTAATTGCCAAAGTGCTGTGGCTCTGTATCTAGACAGTTTTTCTGGACAGCTTTAAATCAGATCAGCATTACTGTTTTAAAAGAAAACATACCAGCTCTCTAACTACTACATCAGAACCACATCAAGCAGATGGGATGACCTTTCATTGAGTTGGAAAAAATCCCAGTGATCTAGTTCAATCTATTCCTGGCTTTCTAACGTGACCCTCGGCAGAGTTTAAGGCCAGCTTTCTATCCATTAATCCATTCTATCTATCATGGAATACTAGCTTTCCAGTAACTTATGGTATGTTAAGTCTTTGGTGCAGTGTTCCTCAGCAACACTGTAAGATGTGTGGACTTCAACTCCCAGAATGTGTGTGTGTGTGTCTGTGTGTCTGTGTGTGTCTCTCTGTGTGTTAATATTGATTAATATAGATTCAATTTATTTTCTTCCATTGGCTTAGAACCAAATAATCTACCTATGTTGCTTTTCTAAGAAGTTTACTGCATTGCTAAATGGAGGCTGTTCGGGAGAAAGAAAAAGGAAGGAAGGAAGGAAGGAAGGAAGGAAGGAAGGAAGGAAGGAAGGAAGGAAGGAAGGAAGGAAGGAAGGAAGGAAGGAAGGAAGGAGTTAAACTCTCCCCATAGAGCAAAATTCAATGGTACAATAAAAACATCCATCTCCTAATGGATGTAGTATTCAAACACTAATATTCAAATACATCTCAACATCCATCTCCACTTGCTTTTTCAAGGGCTAATGGTGACATGTCAGCAGCCCAATCCTGTATGTGCAGGTAAAGGCTAATGCTATCAGAGGAAATGCTAATTAGATACACAGCTTCCAAGTATTGTCTTGTGTTTTCTGATTCATCCAGCAAACAGGTTCCAAGTCTACAGAGATATGTCCAAAGAATTCAATAAGCTAGTACTAATCAGTAATGCTCTTAACAATTAAAAAATGCTGTGAAAATGTGACAAACATGACTAATCAGCTGCCTAAGATCATTTAATAAGATCATTTGCATATGATCACATAGGCATATAAGTATTTAGACTGCTAAATAATGCAACATGTGCTGGTTAAAATTTATGATCAGGAAGCCCATCCCCTATTAACTTTTGCCTCCTGGCAAGACTCAAATGTTAGTTTAACCACTTTGTCATTGACCCTGTCCCTGCTGATTTCTCATAAAAGATTGCTTAATTTTTATATATTTGGCAAAATCTATGTGTGTATGTGTACACACACAAACTTCATTTTTCCAGGAGGACTCAAATCTGGGAAATCTATCTCTGTGTCAAAAGTTGATAGTTACTGGACACCTCCCCTTGTGAGATCTATTACTCCATCTCTCTTCTCACCTGCCTATAGGGTTATTCAAACAAGAGGTGATGTGGCACATATTCGTCTGCCAAAAATATACAGATAGATGCCCCATTATAGCAGAATGTTGGCACTGCTCTTGAAAGATAATCACACAGACCTTTTTCTGACTTGTCAAATGAAAGTGATCATTGAGGAAAGAGGTGGCTTCAAATTAAAGCTCTTTAGTGCCACTACTACAGTCCTCACAACCAATTCTATTTTTCTTCAGCTCCTTCTTTTCTTTGAAGATGAAGCCTATGGTATTTTTACAAAGGCAGCCAGAAAGTGCAGCCACAGCTAATCCCAACCCACTCTTATGCTGTAATTGCCCACCCAAACTTTGGATCAGAAGTTAGATAGTTTTAGGACACTATTGTCAGCAATGGGAATTAGATATTCTTCCAGTTCTATGTTAGAATCTATTCTCATTTTTTTTTCTTTTTAAAAATGTTGACCCATAGTTAGCACATATAAATATTTTTTTCTGCTATTTGACAAAATTATTTATTAAAATTTACTTATTCATAACAGTTTTGATATATGGCTACTCTTTACAGACACAGTGTAATACAAAGCTGCCTCCTCTTAAATGAAATAATAAGTTACAACCTATTTCAATTTACATCTACAAGTAAAATAATATAACAGTTCTGAAACATAGTGGATATCCATCCCCCAATGGATGCCTCTGGAACCCAATGCACAATCTACTTTTTATTCTGTGAGCTCTCCCTCCCACTTAAAAACCTACTCCTTATTTTGAGTCTGCCCCCCCTCCCAATTATCATTAGAGGTCAATGTAATATGGTAGGAAACAAGGCCAAAAAAGGAGAGCTTTTTAATTGCTTAGTGCTGAATTCCTTTTTTTTCCCCTCCCCCAGATGAATCTTCTGCAAACAAACAACCAACCTGGCATCTTTACTCCACTGAAGACAAGACAATGCAGTAGTAGAGATAAGAGAAGCTTAGTAGGAGGTTTAGCAGTCAATGCTGCAATGGGGCCTGTTTGTAGTCAGCTCATAATATACCACAGAAGTGAAAGACAGTTTTCTTAATGTGATGTCCTTCAAATATTTTGCTAAGGAAGTTGTTATTACATGGTCCCATCAGGATACTGATTTAGGAAATCAAATCCAAGTCCATATTTTACTTCCAGCAGGTGCTGTTCTGGCATTTTGGGAAACTAGGGAGTTACTGCAAGATGTAACTAAACATGTTCCATGTCCATCCAAGATCAGCATGACAGATAGGGCTGCTTTTTAGGAAATTGAATAGATGCCTTAACCTCAGTGCTTCAGAAAACAAATGCATATAATCTTTGGGAATTTCTCTCACTCTAAGGAAGTCAATGGATTGGAATATCAAGTGGTCTAGACTTGGTCTACACATATCTCTTCATATTAATGTGTTTAAGCCATTCAAATAATTAAAAATGAGCATGGGGGCATCTATTTGCCTCATGAGAATGTAGATATGTAACATAAATTTTAAATAGTTAGGGTTTAGACAAGAGGTAGGCTACCTTGGCTCTTTTATGACTCATGGACTTCAACTCCCAGAATTCTGGGAGTTGGGGAGTCCACGAGTCATAAAAGAGCCAAGGTTGCCTACCCCTGGTTTAGACAGTTACATTTTAACACCACCAAAGTTTGATATACATAGACATGCACATCTTCAGGCACCTCCAGAGGAACCAGAATTGACAATCTCCCCAGTGATATTAAATTCTTGCACATTTGAAAAGCAAGCACAAATATAAGTTGTTCTAGGTCATAACTGATTTAAAAAAGTGCAAATTATGATGGTTGAATCAGCAGGTAGGTACTTTCTCCATGTGTGTTTGTCCAGCTAATTTCTGATGGTAATCTCCTGAAGAGAGTTTCCCCACCCTACTGGGAGAAAAATGGAAGGGAAGAATGAGTTGTAGGTGACAGAGCGTGGATGAAGTATTCTAAATCACTGTTTACCATCTCTACCCTGAAGGTTATGTGTCCCTCCACTCAGCTTTTTATAGAACTATTGGCTAAGAATTCACAGTATACTATCTTCTGCCATCTTACATAGACATACACATGGAATAGGCAGCAACATGTTTTAGTGTGGTGTACTTTAGTGTGATTACAACTTTCCAATTATGTTGTTTTATTCCCCTTCCCTGCAGTCTTATCTTCTCACCTCTCCTCGAGCCCAGAAATTCAACCATCAGCCAGTATTCTGTCCACAATATTCTAAAAGCCAGCTTGGTCTAGTGGGGTTAAGGCAGCAGGCTAAAAACCAGAAGACTGTGGTTCTAGTCCCACTTTAGGCACAAAGCCAATTGGGTGACTTTGGGCCACTGCCTCCCTTAGCCCTAGGAAGGAGGCAGTGGTCAACCACTTTTGAAAATGTTGCCAAAAAAACTGCAGGGACTTGTCCAGGCAGTCTTTCCAAACTCATTGAAACTTCATGAGATTAAAATTCGCAGTATAAGCACACTCTCCAAAAGCAAAAAGCAGAAGACCAATCAGGAGAAGCTGATTTATCATTGCTGCTGTAGTGTCTCTTGTGAAACAGGCCTGGATCTTCTAAAAAAGGGAAAACTTTTTTTTCCTTATGCAAATATACGTAGTCGTAAACCAATCAAACAGAGCAATTTTTAACTCATATATTAATGAGCTCACATTTCTCCAGTTAAGGAGCAGCTATGCTAAATGTTTGGTGGATTTATTTCAGCTGAGCTGGTAAGTGCTCTCTAAACCTACCACAAAGAGATGAAAGTAGGTCCTGCCCCAAAATTGTGGGACAGTGTTCACCTAGCTAGCAGGTGTCATGCCAGCAGTGAATTCTGGTATGTGCTGCCCAACACATCAAGGAGTTCCAGATTGAGGAAAATTGATGCAGGAGCTGATCTATTTAGCTTATCTTTCAGGTGGGGTGCTGCAACCATGAATTTAGGTGAGTTCTTCAAGACTATTCAAAATCCCAACCATAAATAAATGTGTTCATAATTGGGAGTGCATAAATGAAAAGGCAAGTACGTAAAAGGATTTTGCCTAGCTCTCTTACCTTGCACACACAGAAGCAAGCCAGACCACCCTGTAGAAAGACTGCAAAAAGATCCATTTTTTGCTGTTTAGTGCCATTGCTTTGCCTTCACAGTCATTTTCTAAGTTTTCCAGACAGCCAAGACACTTAAATGAAAGGACATTCTTTCTCTTGCCCTTTGTCCTGGTAACAAATACAGTCTATGTTCACTCAATTCCCTTAACCACTCCAAAAGGACATTGGTATCAGTTAAGCCTTTAGACTGGGGGAAAGAAAGGATAGACAGAAGGGCAGAAGAAGGGAGAGCTGGTCCTGTTTACTCATTCCGTCAGAGTATAAGAAACTGCTTGAACTTTGAGGATCCACTCCAGGAGGCCTTTTAAAGAAAGAAGTAAGACTATATTCACAAGTTTTAAAAAGAAATAATAAAACAAATTTGCTTCACTTTTGAAAAACATCTGGCAGAAGACGGGGAAAAAAGAAAATCTAAATGTCTTCAGCCAGCTGAACTGATCAGTTTTAATCTCCCAAATTCACAGCTTGTTCTCGGTCTTCTGCATTTGTTTCCAAGCCCTGAAGTAACTCAAAGCTACAGACAACAGTATTACATCATTCAGTTACAGGGAGAATTAAGGTGACTGAAGTGGACACAGACTTCATCCAAAACCACATTTGTGTTTGTTGCATTTCCTGCTAATATGGAGCATATTCTTTTCCAGCTTCATTTAACAAAACAGTCCCTTGGCTATCTCTGCTTGTTTAAAAGCATCTTATTTCAGGACCTCCTCCTCTCCTGTACACAGCTAATGAAGTAGGCACTTGCTTTGAAATGACCTTGTGGGATAAATGAGCTAGTCTAAGTTGCCATTATGAATTTTAACAGGAGAGTAGCATGCAGCTTGCCCTCACTGCAGCGAAACCCCCCTCTCCCAAATGGGCTCAGGAAGAAGAAGAAGAAGAAGAAGAAGAAGAAGAAGAAGAAGAAGAAGAAGAAGAAGAAGAAGAAGAAGAAGAAGAAGAAGAAGAAGAAGAAGAAGAGAAGAAGAAGAAGAAGAAGAAGAAGAAGAAGAAGAAGAAGAAGAAGAAGAAGAAGAAGAAGAAGAAGAAGAAGAAGAAGAAGAAGAAGAAGAAGAAGAAGAAGAAGAAGAAGAAGAAGAAGACCTTTTAAACCATCCAGGACCCGTGTGCATTTAGCTGCATAATAGAAGAATACCAAAGGTTTCACTGATTTCCCTGGGATGTTGCTGATCAAGATCACTCCAGGAGCGAGAATGACAACTCTTATATTGAATGACCTTGTCGACAGAGACTGCACAGGTAAACAGTTTTCCTCTTGAAAGGCAGTAAAGTAAAGGCTTTAGCTGCACAGCTTTCCATAAAGGCTCCAACAACAACAAGGGGAGTCCCTTTTCACTGCTTCCCCTTTGCATGGCAACCCGGCTCAGCTCTTTCTCCGCTACAACTTTTTGTGCCAGAGCAGGGGAGCGCTACAACTTTTTGTGCCAGAGCAGGGGAGGGGGGGGGAGAGAGAAACACATCCTCAAGTAAAGCAACTATATTATATCCCTGTTTTCTACAGAAGCTAGTAGTTTGCACAGCACCGTGTTATAAACAGTAATATGCTATATAGCTCAGGAGCATCAGCTGGGAGGCTTAAAGCATCATTCTCAAGTCCCAAGCATCTTTTCATGCTACCCAGTTTAACAGTCTTGTCTTTTTGTTTGTTTGTTTGTTTTAAAACTGAGCCTTAGAAACTGGGTTGATCTATGACTGGCTGATTCAGACACACTGAAAGCTGTAGAAAACCACAGCTTCCTTCTGCGTTCCAATCCCTATGGCTCTACCCAGTGCTAAAACTTTTTTAAGCTTCTCCAAACAATTCCTCTAAAGAAAAGAAAACTGGAAGAGAAAACAGGGGAACTATAATAGTAATAACAGTTATCCTAATAAGGCCACACGAAGTAGGAGACCCTCTTGCCAGACCTTTCTTCTCACTCAAGTTCTTGGCTTATTGTCCTGCTTTGATCCGTTTTCACTCCTCATTGATCTAACACGCGATAGCGTTTCTAACTCTAATAGCCACCAGAGCCTTAAGAACGATGTGTTCTTTGCAACAACGCAGCAATCTTCAGAAGCTTTCTCCTCTAAGCAGCTTAAGGAAAGCAGAGAGAAGTGATGCCAAATATATAAACGTAACATTCAGAACATGACCTTGCGTGTCCTTAAACGGGCAGGCAAACCAAGCAAGTATCCAAATCGCGCACCGGACATTTACCGACTTCACCTACAGTTCTTTCGCAGTTCAACCCCTAGCGGCAAGAACAAAGCACACCTTTGGATTTCCTGCTCCAGACTTCCCACCGCGGCACACGTCACAAGAGCTACCGGCTCTTTAGGATATACTTTTCGGCAGTCAAAAGTATCCCCGGGCTAGCTAGAAGGTCGTTGATTAGCTTTGCTTTAAAGGCACCTCAAGGCGGGAAAAGGCGCCCACAACTTCTGCCCACCGCTTCCTCTTCTAACATTCAGGAACTACAATGCATCTCATTCATCGGGGCTTTTTATATCGATTGTTTTCCCCTACACTCACTCTCCCCCCGCGCGCACACACACACCCATTTCTTCCTTCTGGGTAGGAACGTTCATACAACCTCTTGGCTACACAAGCCAGGAGCGTGTGCATCTCTCCCTCCGCCCGCTCGCCTAACCTGTACTGTAAAAAGCAGAAAAGCGCCACCATCATCGCAAAACTCAATAAATAAATAAATAAATAAAAATAACCCAGAGCATTCTGATCAAACCCTCGGGGTCCCTCTAGTGTCAACTTATCTGCATCGCAGAACGAAGAACTAAAAAAAAAAAAGTTTTTTCTTCCCCCCCCCCTTCGCCCACTCTGCCCCGCAAAGGGGGCAAGAAAATAACTATCGTAACAATAAAAAAAGCCCCACAATAATAATAAAATCAAAGCGAGGAGCTGGTTGAAGAAGCCGGCGCTCCATTTGCCGACCGCTTCTGCAAGCGATCCTGTTCGGCAAATAATTTCGCACAGACTTTACCGGGAGAAGTGGGGGACAGAGGAGGGACTGACAAAAGGTGTGCAAAAAAAATAAATAAAAAGCAAAACAGAACAACCCCGGCTTGTTGTTTTTTTTTTTTTCCCGGAGGCGGAGTGCTGAAAGTAGGGGAGCCCTTTCGGGGGGAAAAAACGGGGGGGGGGAGAGAGAGAGAAGGAGAGAGAAAAGTCTCTTAGGAGGCAAGTGGAGGATCTTTGTCGCTGGTTTTTTTAAGCAGAGCTCAAAAGGAGAGCCAGATTTTTTTTTCTCTTTCGCTCTTCTCTCTCCGGCCCGAACGGAGTTAACAGCTTTGTTGCGTTTTTACAGGCGGCGTCCTGCCTTGAACTCATGCACGCAAAGCCGAAAGGGAGCCAGTCCCGCAGCGCGACCTAAGCGCCCGGACCCCTCGCTCTGGGAGAGCCGTTCTGATGCTTGCCGCTGCCGCCAGCGCCGTCGCCAAAAGCCGCTTGAACGCACCACCCAGTTCCCTCACTTCGCCTCCTCTCCGAAAGAGAGAGAGAGAGAGAGAGAGAGAGAGAGAGAGAGAGAGAGAGAGATCCAAGAGGGTTTGTTTTTCTTCCTTACCTTTGAACTGCCAAGGCTGTTTTCAACTTCTGGCGTTGAGGTTTGGAGCAAGCCTGGGTTGCTGCTGCAGCGTTCATCCTCTGCTCTTGACATGGTGACTCTGACTTGGCTGATTTTTCTGGTTCTATTTGGTGTTAGTGAGTCCCTCTTATCTTTTTTCTGTGCGTTTGTGTGTGTGTGTGTGTGTGTGTGTGTGTATGTGTGTATGTGCGTGCGTGCGTGCGTAGGTAGCTGGATAGTTTACTTTGCTGTCTTCTTGCTTGGATCTCGTTTCCAGAGGCAGGGCTGGTGGGTTCAGCTCCGCTAGTAGCAGCTATACTTTCAATGAACTGCTCCACTGAGAAGACAGACCGATGCGCTCACTGCCCCTTCTTTTATACGCCCATCCAATGGGCATGCTCAAACTTACAGGCTTCAAGGTAAGTCAGCCAATAAAATTGCAGAGGTTATCTAACCCTCTCTGTCTCTCTTCCTCCCCCCCCCAACCTCCTCCCATTTTACCCTCTCTTGAGATTTCCCATTTGGAGCAAAAACAAAAAAAATCAATAGTATGCTTTTGGGCTATTGCCTCATCTCAAAATTACCTCCCCCCCCCATATATGCACAAAGAAAGGAAGGGAAAATGAGGAAGATGGACACCCCCCAAGCAGTTAATATTGCTTTTTAAGTGCAAGATATATATATATATAAATCTCAGAATATATATATATATATAAATACACACACACACACATACTTTAACATACATTCTTCATTAAAATAAATCCCACCACTTTGTTTATTGGGATTAGAAAATGCCACGATCTTCAGGCAACCCAATGTTTAGTGAATACTTGCCTTTGCTCTCAGTGGTTGAATTAATCCTGTGATTAATGTCTTCAAAGCTCAGGTCAAGGAGACCTGGAGAGGTCCTGTCTTAGTTTCTCCAGTCCCGTTTTTTTTGCTTCCCTGTCAATGAAGACAGAAGGTAGATAGAAAGGGAAATTAATTAGGCTATAATTTCACTGAGTGTTTGCAAATTGAGTGAACTGAACTAGATGCCACTAGATGAAAGCTGCACCATCATCCTACTCTGGAACAGGCTGATGTGTGCAAAGACCTCTGAAAATCCCGCCCTCCTACAGCTAGGAGAGCAAATGCAGTGTTCAGGGGAGCTACCTTTATAAAGCACCTCTGAATTGCTAATTGAGGACAAGCTCATCGGGGATAAGTCCCTGTTTTCCAAATCTACAGTACTCAAAGTACACTGTTAATGACAAGTTACAGGGTGGCTACCGTTCACCAAACTCCATCCTATCTGTGACAGTCTTAAACAAGGCATCGTGTAGAGATGGGGAATCTGTGAATCTCCAGATGATACTGAATTATAGCTCTCAGTGACCCATCCTATATGCCCAACAGTGAGTGAGATGGGAAGCTGTATGTGGGAAGTCACAAATTTTCCACTCCCAGATTAAAAGAAGTGACCTGAATAAATATTTATTTAAAGCAAGATTATCAAGAGAACAGAAGGCAAACTTGTTGTCAACAGTCAAAATAATATCCTGGCTCTCAGGGATAAGTAATGGGATGCCATCTAGTCCAACATTAAGTGGATTTTCAAATTGGTGCTTTCTAGATGTGATCAACTACAATTTCCCAAAACATGTTGGCCAAGGGTGATGGATGTTGTAGTTCAATAGAACAGGAGGACCTGATCTTACCAAAAGCTGTCCATGTATTAGCTATCCTGTTTTTCCATCCCCGTCTGAACAATGATAATATTAAAGGGATAAAGTTTTATCCTTAGGATTGTAAAGAGATCTTTGGCTTTTTCAAAATAGGCTAAGGGTTGCCTATCCTGCAGTCTTTATGTCTCTGTCTCTCTGAAACAAGATTTAACTGAAATAAATAAGAACCCACGTACCTATTTTGGGAGCCCAGTAATTTTTTTACCCTTGCCGTTTAAAAGTACAGCAGCAGCGTTTTAGATTTGTAGTTATTTCGGAGTAGCAAAACTGGAATTATTAACCACATTTATTATATGGTTAAATCTTTAGTGTCTACAAAACTTTAATCAGTTAGCCCTGTTGAATAACTCAGCATTCATGTATAGCTTATATATTGATGCAGCTCCAGGTAGGGTGGGGAAATCTGATCTAAATTAACTTTATGATTGGCTATCCATATGGATCTTTATAATCCCAGTAACGTTGTTACAAAAAAAAACAAAAACAGAGAGAGTGAATAAGCGAGAAGGTGCTATGGTTTTATTAAACTTGAGAGATGTCATTGATCCCCAAGGATCCATTCCATGTTGCATTCCCTTGTAAACAAGCTTTTCCATATGAAATTCCTGATTCTGATCTGGGACTGATAAAACATTTTTATCAGACAGTGGCGCTCTTTGACCTATTTAAAGTTATTTTCAGTGTTAGCGGGAATCTGGATTCATGGTAATAGTTGTTCATCATAAGGCTGTTGCTGCAGATCAGAAGACAAAGTTGCATAAATGAATGCACAGCAATGCAAAAGTCAGGGGAGCATCTGTTTTGTAGTATAAACACTTACCTGTTAGCCATTTTCATTCTCTTTGGAACCTATATCTGAGAGACCAGATAATCAAGAAGTAAGTGAGAGGCAACAGAGCTGACATAGCATCTCCAGTATCTGCATCAAAACTTTGGTTTTCTCCTTGCTTACTCCTCTGTGATAAAATGGTAGCAAACTTCAAAAGATGTAAATATAATCAGGAATAAGACCTAATATCTGGAATAGGGAAGAAAAGCCAACTTTCTTTAAAAAAAAAATTCATTCTTTTTGAAGTCCCATCTTACACTTTTATTCTTTTATTGATATTTACACATAAATTCTATTTTAAAGAGGAACTTTACCTATGCTAAAGCTGAATTCTTCCTCCCTTCAATGAAATACATTTGTGGGGAAAAAAGAGACTGAACCTCCTAAACATTTATCTTCTGGGACAGAACAAAATAGCATCATATATACATGCATATATACAAGTATACAGAGATGACAAAAACTACTTCAAGAAAGGGTCTCTCAGAGTATTCTAAGTTGTTGTAAATGGCTCCCTTTGGAGCAACCTTCTGCTCCTTGGGCTTTCGTCATCCCTGGATAGTGTTACTATGCCAGTATTGACAACTTATATTGCGAAGAACAACATTTTTAGCTTGGAGAAGGTTGGTTTAGAACCAGGGGTAGGCAACCTTGGCTCTTTTATGACTCGTGAACTTCAACTCCCAGAATTCCTGAGCCAGCCATGCTGAGGGGAAAGGGAGAGGTTTCCAAGCTGAGTCATGCTGGCTCAGGAATTCTGGGAGTTGAAGTCCACGAGTCATAAAAGAGCCAAGGTTGCCTATCCCTGGTTTAGACAGTGTGTTGATTTTATACTCTTCTACTCATTATCCCAATGGCAGCAAATGAGGTGTTGATTGATTCCAATAGCCCCAAAGTCATTTCTCTTGATACTAGCTTAGTTCTCTGGCTCACCTGATTATTATTTTTTTTAATGATTCTTTTAATTAACCAAAATTAAATAGAAAAGCTGTCAGGCAAACCCATCAGTTTCTAGCACTTTTAGAACATGACCAGTTAGGGCAGGGGTAGGCAACCTTGACTCTTTTATGACTCGTGGACTTCAACTCCCAGAATTCCTGAGCCAGCATGGCTGGCTCAGGAATTCTGGGAGTTGAAGTCCACGAGTCATAAAAGAGCCAAGGTTGCCTACCTCTGAGTTAGGGAATACAGAGCTCAGCTTCTGGAAGTTTTTCCAACCTCTTAAAGTAGCTCCATTCTGGGTCATGTGACCAAGAAAAAGGCGGGGTTTAGAATGAAAAAAATTGGCAACATTTCAGTTTTCTACCTTATTCTCTCTCCCAGAAAGAGGCACTATAAAAGTTTTGGTTTGGTTTCTTTTCTCTCTCTCTCTCTCTCTCTCTCTCTCTCTCTCTCTCTCTCTCTCTCTCTCTCTCTCTCTCTCTCTCTCTCTCTCTCTCTCTGCAGCACCTAGTTCAATCTGGCTCATTTTCAAGTTTGATCTTTCTTTTCTGGTTTGGTCCAATTCTGGACTATAATTCTGCTGATGGACAGACAGTCACAGAGACAGACAGCCTCCAAATCCTGTTTATATAATTTCTTTCCAACATTCTTTTGCATTGGAAAGAATAACAAGATAGGGGAAACCGGGAAAGGGATCTGTATTTCATTCTTTGTGATAAAAGTGTTGCATTTGTTGGCCCAATCTTAGGGTCAACATGTGTTGCCTCTGTTTGAGTGTGGGTATGATGGTCTTAAGGGGGCGTGATGATTCAGCGGTTGAGATGCTGAGCTTGTCAGCTAGAAAGCCGACAGCCTGGATTTGAGACCCATTACTTGTCCCAGCTCCTGCCAATCTAGCAATTCAAAAGGATGCGAATGCGAGTAGATAGATAGGTACCACTTTGATGGAAAGATTACTGCATTTTGTACATTTGTACTGGCCACATGCTGAGGGAAACATCTCTCAGACAAGGCAGGCTCCCTTGGCTGAGAATCGAAGATGAGCACCGCCCCCTTGAGTCAATCAAGGGGAAACCTTTACCTTTTTGTTGGAGTTACCAAGAAGGATATACTGTATATGCATTCTATATGTATTTGCATTTTTTTTCCTCTGCATCTGTGTAATGTGTGTGGTGTATGGTGTGTGTATTCATTGAAAAGCTCAGGAGGTGCTGCATTTGCTCCATTCTAGTTATGTGACCAAGAGGGAAGAGATTTAAAAACTGAGCAATAGACACAATTCTACACAGTTTCCCATAGGGAAGTGTTTTTGGGTATTATTTTCCTGTACTGCCTCCTCCATATCTAGCCCATTTTCACCCTTTCTGTTGCTGGTTTCTCTTCCCTTTCCGTCCCTCCCCAGAAAACTTCCATTTTACTCACATTACTTTTTAGAGAATTATCTTGCTGATGGAGAGACAAGGACATTTGAACCTATATATATACATACACATACACACACACACACACACACACACACATTCACACATTCTTCATTGGGTTGGCTAGTATAAAAATGATAACTGGCAACAGCTCAGTGCTTTGTTTGGATTATTTATCATATGGCATGTTTATGTCATGTTTCAATAAAAACACAGGAGGTAAAAATACAAACTATGAAATATAAAACCTCAAATATTATAAACGTCTTATCTAGATTACAGATATACTTGTGCTCCATTTGCCATAATCAGGAGAAGAGCAAAGTCCCCATTATAGGCTGTCATTATATGTTGAGCAGTTTGGAAGTTTGACTGCCATAGATAAAATTAAAATAATAGAGAGTATTGGGAGTTAGGAGAGTTAAATAAATGCATTATGAACAGCCATACTCATAACTATCATGATAATAATATTTCAAATGTGCTCAACATCCCAAACTGTTTGTCTACCCCTACATTATAAGCAATTTCTTACAGACGTTGGATACATAATAGAGGATTGGTTCTGTCCAAAGAAAAACAAAGTGTTTACACATAACCAGGCAACTAAACAAGTGATATGAAAGAGGGCACTGAGCAAGAAACATTAATTTTCAAGACACGTGAAATCAGACAGCACTGAAAGGTCTCTAGAATCAGCTACTGACATCTATCTAGCCTCATAAGTTGTTATTGAGTCTACTTGTGTATGTTGCTTTGATCTTAATTGCAGCTTAGTTTTCCTAGAGTGCAAGTAAATAGAGCATTATGTGAAGAAAAAAAGAAAAGGCACAAAAAGAGAGGGGAAAAAAAGGGGATTGATCAAAAGGGATAAGCTCTTGTTCCTTCACTTAAAGAGATATATTAGCCTGGGCAGGAATAAATTGAAAACTTAGAAACAAAAACTGAAAATCGGGTTAAGAATGCTTTTTTACATTTAACCATCTGGTCAAAATGGTTCAAATGGTTTCAACAATAAAAATAAGGAAGTGTGGTTTATTTTTCTAAAAAAAAATCAAGGAAGTTTGGAAACCAAGTTTACAAAATTATACAACGCCACAAAAATTAGAGTCTCTCTCCACTCACATAAGCAGTGATTGCTAAATTACTTAGCCTTCGGCACCCATGGGGGAAAAAACTGGGTTTAAGGGGAAAGCAATCTGATTTTTCTACCATTTTGGTTATAAATATAGCATAATGGTCCAAGCTTAACAAAGTGTATACGTATTTATACTAATAAATAATTTTTAAATATTATTTTTCCCTTACATGTGTGCCCAGCTCCAATTCTTTAATGTTGTTTAAAGAGAGGTGGTAAAGCCCCTACTCTCCAGATTTTACTGAACTATTAGCATTGATTGGTGCTGACTGGGAAGTTATAGTTCAGCAACATCTAGCGCAGTGTTTCTCAACCTTGACAATTTTAAGGCATGTGGACTTCAACTCCCAGAATTCCACAGCCAGCATTGCTGGCTGTGGAATTCTGGGAGTTGAAGTCCACATGCCTTAAAATTGTCAAGGTTGAGAAACACTGATCCAGTGGGTCATAAGTCAATGCCCATTCCTTTTAATTATTGCAATACATTATGTTGCATTCCAACATTATTGCAATACATTATGTTGCATCTAGTCTAGGATTAGATAAATTAGTCCCTTCTAGATATTTTGGACTATAAACTCCTATTGTCATTGGCCATCCTTACTGGACTTAATTTAGCTCCTTACTAGAGCTAAATTTTAAAGTACATTAATTTACCTACCCTGATCTACCCATTACATTACAAGCAGGAAAAAAGCCCTATAAGAATGTAACATAAGGTACCAAGAAATGAATGAGGATGAAATAAAGTCCTTGTTTAAAGACAGTAGGGAAAGTATGTAGGTCATAAGCTTCTGGGATTCCCTATCCGTAATTACTGTAAGAGGTATCTGCATTTCCTTTTGTGTAATGAAATAAGATGCCACTACCTGTCCCCCTCTCTTTCCCTCTCTCTCTGGTGAGTATGTCTTTGCACAAGAACTTTGTTCTGAGGGATTAATTGGACCTCTGGCATATGTGTTGTCTGTAGATAACTATGTGTGTGTTGGAGGGTTCTGCTCTCCCTCATATTGAATTTGGGTACATGGGTGTAAATGCATGCATGGTGAAGCATAAGTAGGCTGCCTATACTCAGCTCTGGTCATTGGCCAACAGAATGGTGCTTAGAATGGAGTAATCACCAACATTCTGAGCTCCCCCCCCCCTTGCCTAGTGCTACTTTCTACTGCTTATGAGTTCAAGTCGTCTTTGCCTCATTTCTTTCAACCACAGGGTTAGAAAGAATAAAAAAGGATATGTTTAGATAAATTGTTCTCCCAAAAATATATTTCAGGTATGTCTCAAGAAATAAAAAGACACTTTTTAAGGCAAACCATGGGCATATAAAGTAAGCTCCTCAGCATAAAGGTAAAGTATGTCTTTTTCATGCAAAAGGTTGCAAGCTGAGTCCCTGATTTCTTGGCTAGAATAGGTTGGTAACATGGTTGAAAATGTTCCTTGCTTCAGAGACTAATAACAGAAGTCAGAATAGAAAATGGTAAGCTAAGAGATACATCAGATCAGTTTGGGTCTTTCTGCTCTTATTAAACCACCCCAAATCTGAAAATGTGGATCAATGCTTGCTATGTCTCAACTGCACAGTTTGGCTTTGGAAAAAAACATTTATATAGCAACATTGGTGGTTACAGTTGACGATTATCTTTGACAGACATGCTGGTTTCCACATGCAGTAAGTAGCTGGGCTGGGCGTGCCTTGGATTCAAATTTAACTTAAATGAGAATATTACAATTCATATGGTTGCTCTCCTTCAGTCTGATTTTAGAACAGCAACTCAGGATGCAGCTCACAAGCCATTGTCAACATTTTAGGGTATACCTGGATTTCGGAATGATTACAGGCAGATGGTTAAGAGATGCTCTATGGTGCTCCTTAGAAGAAGGTCAGATCTGAATTTGAAGAATTAGTAAATGTTGAAGTTTCAAGAATAGTTAAATAACTAGACATGAATGGACATATTTATTTATTTATTTATGAGACTTATATACCGCTTTAAGTGCAAGCACTCTCTAAGAGGTGTACACCAGTAAGCAATGTATATATATATATTTACATTGCCCCCAACAATCTGGGTCCTCATTTTACCTACCCTGGAAGGATGGAAGGTTGAGTCAACCTTGAGCCGGTGAGATTTGAACCACTGACCTGCTGAACACAGTCAGCTAAAGTGGTAGTACTGCAGTACTGCATCCTAACTGCTGCGCCACCTCGGCTCAGCATACAACCTTAGTCTTAGCAGTGAAAAAAAAATAAAAACAAGAAATCTAATTTCTTGTGCAACTGACTTTTCAAAAGGAGAAAGAAAATGATGCTGTCCCTCAAGAGAACTAGTTATATCTGTATAGCATAGCTCTGCTGGAGTATGACATTTACAGTATTTGCTGCAATCTATTTATTCACAAAGGGGTTCAGAGAATAATGTGATTAATGTTTCACAAATCCATGAGAGATTATGTTTGTTAGACTGTGATACATTTTATGGAAGACATACAAAATATATGTATTCTTTTTTGTTTTTTGCCATAAAAGGTGGGTGGAGTAGCTAAAGATACATCTGGATTGTGCAATTAATGGCTTTTTAAAAGCAGAACATGTTGGCTAAGATGAAATACCTCTGAAGAGCTCTGGAATTTCAGGTATGTATCTGTAAAATATTTTCTTCCAATGTTATGTGTTACTGTAATGTGTGGGGTAATAATGAAGCTTAACAGCCCAAGGCATCAGTCACTTTTCCTAAAACTGAACCCTAAAATGCATCCCCAGAATATTGCAACAGGAGAATGTATTCTGCTAGTAGTAGGAGGTTTGCAAACCAGGAGTATGGTTGTTTGAATCTTGTGGAATGAATGAGTTTAGATTGGAAACTTGCTCTCTGTCTATTCAAGGAGGCAAAGATTATTATTATATCTACAACTTCAACCTGATTACTTTCCCCAGTAAAGTCTTATAATGATGCTGGAAAATAATTTGAAAAGAGATGTGTTCAGAGAACAGAACTAGCTCTGATGAGGTTACCTAGTGTAGTAGTAGTAGTAGTAGTAGTAGTAGTAGTAGTAGTAGTAGTAACAATAATAATAATAACAACAACAACAATAATAATAATAATAAAGTTGGAAGGGACCTTGGAGGTTATCTAGTCCAACCCCCTGCAGAAAACCCTATACCATTTCAGACAAATGGCTGTCCAGTCTCTTCTTAAAAACTTCCAGTGTTGAGTAAACCATCAAGTTCAGAGAGTTCCAAGGACCCCACAGAATAGAAACATAATAGATGAAAGGGGATGATTTGTTTTCCCATTTTAAAAAAATAAATAAAACACTGTTTGCCCATAGTAATAGCCAAGATGGGAAGACCACAGCTGTTGGTCAACAACTACAATTTCACTGTTTTTTTCTCCGCTGATTTTGTGGCAGTTTTTGTAATAGTCCTTAAGCAAACAATGTGGTCATTAAACAAATCAATGCATTCCTTGGTTGTTTCCATCAAAAAACATAAATCATGTCATATGACTGCAGAATAGTGCAACCAGCCATGACCCAGTGAGCTGTTTGCCAAGCACCCAAAATGCAGTCATGTGACCATGTGGGGGCGTGCAGCCATCTGAACTCCAGAACCAGGTTATAATACTGTTTGACTGGGGGAGGCTACACTGTAGTTTTGAATGATTACTAAGTGACTGGTCATTAAGCAAGGACTATCTGTAAGAAATATTAAGCAATGGAAATGGAGATGTCAGGCATAGGTAACCAGGAACAAGAGTTGAGTTCAAAGCATTAAAAGCTTATTACTTGCTACCTATTAACAATAATCTGATCTGCTAACAGTCAAGACAAATTGGTGCTAGATAAGAGTCAACAAAATTCATGGGGAGGGATTAGACTTAGATCCTCTTGTGGCTGTGCAAGGATTCCAAACTGATGATGTGTTTGACTCTGCCTTCAGGTTCAGCCTGGTCATCACGCTATTGGAAACAGGTAGCTGAGAACTCAGCTGAGAAAAGAAGCATAAGTTTATTATTATTATTATTATTATTATTGTTGTTGTTGTTGTTGTTGTTGTTGTTGTTGTTAGTTTGTTTGCTTGTTAAATTTATTTACCCCTCCCATCTTGCTGTGGGGTTACTCTAAGCGGCTTGCAACAATAAAAAAGAAGAAATGTCATCAAGAGTGTAAACAAAAGAGAAGTAAGATCGTAGAACAATAAAATAAACAATGAAAAAAGAGCACAATGAGAATACATCAATATGATGACCAAAAAGATGGATGGGTGGAAAGCAGAGAGCATAGGTGGGGAGGTGGAGTCTGCCATTAATCTAGCAGCCACCTTCAGCATGGAACTCCCGCATTTGGACCTGCAAAGCCCGGTGTTTAGGTTCTTTGTAGAGAGGTAGGAGGGTGGGGGCAGGTACAGTAAGAGGCTCCTAGAAGTGGGCACTGTAGCAGAGAAGGCTCTTCTTCTGGATCCCAATAGTCAGAGTTCTTTGACTGACTGGATCCAAGCTGGGCCCTCTCCGCCTGCTCAAGTAGAATGTGCTTGTCCTAGCGGGATGAGGTGATTGATCAGGTAATCGGCACCTATGCCATTAAGGGCTTCATTCAGATTCAAGGTAACTGAATTGCTTTAGCCAAATGGCATTGGTGTCATTAGAAATAAGTGATTTGTTTATAGTTATTTCAGTCATCTTGGAGCATACATGCTTATCGCTGTAAGAAAAAAAAAACAGTTCTAGAAGAGGTGAGCATGCTCTGAAAATGTTTTGAAGAATTGTTTCAATGGTTCGCAAGTGTGAGACCAGCCCCTCTCTTCATTAAGACAACTTGATTTTAATGAGGATCGAAGAAGGGCTATATTTATACTACACAACATCCAAAGTGTTCCAATCACCTTCGAAGTACGCATAGCCTCATGTCTACTATCCCATAACCTGCCTAAGTCATAATGAATTTTCTTTGGGAGTTCATGAGATGTGTCAGAAAGAAACAATAGAGGAATTCTCCTATTGCACATAGCCAAGACCAAACATATTGTGTTTTAGCACCATGTGTGCATATTGCTTAATGATGGTGCCAAGATTTGGTAAGCCCTTGACAGAATAATCTCCTCAGAGGCCCCTTGGTTCACTCTGTTGGTTTATTTGATTCTCAATCAAAGATATCTTCACTTGGCAAGTGAAGATTATTGCCTATCTCCGTGGACTTTACATCCAGAAAAAGTATCTGTGGCATTGAGGGGAAAAGATTAGGGATCTCAGGATTGTTAGGGAGCCATGCAGGGATATGGAAGGAAGGGTGTACTCAGTGTGCCCAGCATTTTTTTAGCTGTTTCCCTCTGTATAAAAGTGCACTTTCTTTCAAAGACCCAGTTCTTAAATTCATTATATTTTTAAAAACCTGAAATATAAAATAGAAACAAAGCTACAACCAGGACTATCGCATAAGTCAACTTCCTAAGGATACTTGAGGAGTTAAGTGGACTGTGGTTGTGTGCATGTGTCAAAGTGTTATTTTGGATATTGCCTTTGGCAGCATTAATTATGTGGGTTTGTGCCCACATTTTATGGTGAATTAATTTTTTAAATGTTCATGTTGATAATTAAACCCTTCTCTATTATTGCACAAATGTTTTTCTTTTTCAAATTATAAAGAGGGAACACAAATAAGTTGCCCTATTTGAGAAACTTTAAAAGGTGTTTTCTTCTCCAGTTTTAAAAATGTTTTTGTAGTCTTTGGCTGAGCTGAATCATGCCGCTTGACCACCTACACTTTAGCAAAAGGTAATTCCACTATTTTTTATGAAGCTCTTACATTGCTGGGACCAGAATGGGACCAGAAGAAACAAAGAAAGTGTAATTAAGGCAAGGATGGGTTTTGTTTGTTTGTTTATGCCAAACATTTTCTGGAATGCTTACATGCCTGACATTCAGGGACCTTCAATTATGCTAAGATTATTTTGCAGGGTGTATGGGTTGTTAAAGATTCTTTTATGATCAGGAAGAGGAAGAATGTCACTCATGCCCTTGTCACCTCAAGACTGGATTACTGTAACGCGCTCTACATGGGGCTACCCTTGAAGAGCGTTCGGAGGCTGCAGTTGGTTCAGAACGCAGCCGCGAGAGCGATTGTGAGCGCGCCGAGGTACGCCCACGTGTCACCTATCCCCCGCGAGCTGCACTGGCTTCCTGTGGGTCTCCGGACGCAATTCAAGGTGTTGGTTATCACCTTTAAAGCCCTTCATAGCATAGGGCCAGGTTACTTACAGGACCGCATTCTGCCACATAGTTCCCAGAGACCGGTGAGGTCCCATAGAGTGGGCCTCCTTCGGGTCCCGTCGGCCAGACAGTGTCGGCTGGCGGGCCCTCGGGGAAGGGCCTTCTTCTGTGGTGGCTCCGACCTGGTGGAATCAACTTCCCCCCGAGGTTCGAACAACTCCCACCCTGCCGGCCTTTAAGAAGGCTGTTAAAACCCTCCTGTTCCGGCAGGCCTGGGGCTGATGTCCCCGGGGGGGGCGGGATATGATCGGACTCGCGGTATGACTGTGGTATGACTGCTTTATTTTACTGTTTTATCATTGTTTTTAACTTTGTACGCCGCCCTGAGTCCTTTGGGATTGGGCGGCATATAAATACTGTAAATAAATAAATAAATAAATTCTGGAAGTTGGGGACAACTACTGTTTAATATCTGCATCATGTTATATGTTATAGGCATACCTGTTTATGTAGCTTATAGCGCTCATTAAGTGGTTTGCTGAATAAAATGAAAGAAGGGAGGCTGTGTTTCAGTACAAAAGACTTTGCCTGTGAGGTAACTTCAAGAACTGTTCATCACCTTTAGAAGACTTTTATTTTAACTACATAATACTAGTAGCTGGATATAATTAGTGTAACCAAGTTTCATTGCTTCATAATAAGATATAGTGTTAAGTTATGGGGAAATCTTAACTTTCAGAGATTAGTAGAACCTTCTCCATCCCGACAGCCACCAGATAATGACTGGGAATTCTAGGACTTGTAATAGGGATCCAATTTGGGTAAGGCTGGGCAGTGTCATTTCCCATCTTAGTGGGCGAGGGAAATATATTTTTAAATAACTCGGTCTGTCACCAACATGCTGTGAACAGATTGTGCGTAGCGACTCACCATGCAGATTGAATTATTTCTATCCTTGCAGGTTTCTTTCTCTCTCTCTTCTTGAGCCATTCGTAGTGACAAGATCCACATGAATGGCTTACCACACAGAGACAGCCCCCATGTGAAGCAATTTAAGCAATCCATATGTGGTGGGCCCTGACATCCCTGGCCTTCATTTAGAGAAAGCGATTAATTCACTCTGCTGGATTGAGCAAGCGGAGCAGAGTAATGGGAGGAGGTGGGGAGGGAAGGGAAGGAGACCTATGCTAAAATTTTGGAAAGCTGTGGAAATCACCCTCATGGATAATTTTTCACAGCCTCTTGCAAAAGAAGAAGCTGTTCACAGGGCACAAGTGTCAGAGAAGGAAAATGAGCTGGTGGCTGAGGTGGGGAACAGATACCTTTTTTTCCATGTTGACACTCACGAAAGGATTGCCCCAGGCCACAGGGCAAAACAGAGCATTGGCCCAATTACATGGAAACCAGAATGCTTACCACCCTAACAAT